CTCCCTCTCCCTCTCCCTCTCCCTCTCCCTCTCCCTCTCCCTCACTGGTTGTCCTGGAACTCATTATGTAGACTGGGCTGGCCTTGAACTCACAGAGTTCTGTCTGCCTCTGCCTCCTGAGTGCTGAAGTTAAAGGTATGCACAACTAGCTCTGGATTATGGTATGTCAACCTCATTGGATACCACGCTGCCAACAAAAGTATGTGTTTTAGGGTAGAAAAACAATATACACAGAGATGTGGCTTTTATAAAACTAAGAGATTCTACATAGGACTATGATTTTGAGACTAGTAATGTATACAGTACATATGGTCATACATATTGTGAAGAGGCAGACAGTAAATATTTGTAACTTGGAAACCACAACTCAGCTGTGCTAGTGGAGCAACAAAGCAACCCCAGAATATATACAAATGAACATGGCTATGCCATATAAAACTTTATTTAAAAAAATCCAGGCAGGCATGGTGGCATATGCCTTTAGTCCCAGCACATGGGAGACAGTGGTAGGTAGGTCTCTGTGAGTTCAAGACCAACCTGGTAAGCTGCATGTCAGCCAAGGTTACATAGTGAGACCCTGTCTCAAAAAAAAAAAATCCATAGCAGGCACAAAATGGCTCAATGGTTAATGGCACATGTTGACTTCAATTCCTGGGACCCACTCGAATGTTGTTAACAAAGAACAAACTCCCACAAATAGTTCTGACTTTCACACATATTCCATGGCACTCATGCATGTACACACACACACACACACACACTACACTATTTATTCTTTTATGTGTCAATGATTATATAGTGAGTGGTTGGGTCTATGTAGTTCACTGCAGATGGTACACATGAAAAACAGGTATGATGAGCTAACATAAAAAAGTTATAATACAAGGAAAAGTGAATGCTATAGAATTTCATTTATCTCAAAAGTTACTTTTATATGATGAAAAAATTACTAGTTATTGATAGTGCAGCCTCACGATAGTGTGACTAGGGGATAGACTGTCAATACAAATTAGATTCTTAAAAGTAGAAACTCCTGTTAGGCAACAGATTCTGTGTAAACCCCCACTAGTCTGAGGTAATACATATGTAAGAACTAATGTCATGTAAACAAATAGTGTGCAATCAGACATACATATCGACACACTTTGACAGAGAACACTGTCTTGTTTCCTTTCTCGCATTATAGGGACATTACTATCCCACAATAAGTAGGAATATTATTGATACAAAAATCCCCAAAACTTTCCTATAGTCTGGTAACAATTGTGTCTTTTGTCATTTTTCTATAGAGAAACGTTTCTCAACCCATTGCTGGTGTAGGGTTTCCTCCTAGGATGAATTCCGAAATCATATTACAAATGTCTTTCGTGAATAGTGTGTTTATCAACAAGTAGTGTATATCTAGATATTTTAAAGTTTAGAAGTCATAATGTATAATAAGTTCCTTTAAAACATTCTCTTCAAGTAATTAAAAGATTATACCCCAGTTAGGAATACGTTTACAAGCTGGGCAGTAGTGCTGCATGCCTTTAATCCCAGCTTGAGGCCAGCCTGGTCTACAGAGTGAGTTCCAGGACAGCCAGGGCTACACAAAGAAACCCTGTCTCAAAAACCTCAAAAAAAAAAAAAAGAAAAGAAAAAAGAAAGAAAAAGAAAAAAGGAATACGTTTACAGACTATAAGGAAATGTGCTTCACACAAAACCTGAGCCTAAAAGAAGTGTGTCTGGTATGAGCTGCTTGGTATTTATTATAATCTGACATGCTGTTAAAAGCCTCCCAACACTCAGAACACAGTGGCGTCTTCCTCCCGTCTAGATCCAGTGCTGCACACTGAGTTGGGATACACTGCTGAATGATTTCCCATCTTCTCCGCATGTCTATGGAGACAATGGACCTTCGGTGGGTTGTATTACGGAACAATTTCCTATGGCATTCCTAAGGTTTCTTACAAGTGTGAGTCCGCTGATGGCATTTCAACACAGACTTCTGGAGGAATCCCTTCCCACATTTTTGACAGACAAAAGATCTCCCCCTAGTGTGAGTCATCTGATGTCTAGGCAAAGATGACTTATTGTAGAAGCCCTTCCCACATTCAGGGCACACATAGGGTTTCTCGCCTGTGTGAATTTGCTGATGGGATGTCAGTGCTGACTTCTGGATGAAGGTCTTCCCACATTTTTGACAGACAAAAGGTCTCTCCTTAGTGTGAGTTATCTGA